ATTTGCAATTTTTTGAGAAAGCGCCACATCACCTTCCACAATGGTTGCACCATCTTACATTCCCACCAACAGTGAATAAGAGTTCCAGTTTCTCCTAGTCAGCTTTAAAGAACCAATATTCTAATTCTATTTAGAACGGAAATAACACTATCCATAGAAGATTATCCCAAAATAACCCACAGAAGTTGCATTTAATTCTTTTCTACTACAAAGAACAAAAGATAGGGAAAACCTAAGAAAATGTGTAAAACCTGGAGGCTGAAATATATAAAAATACTAACGAATGAAATTGAAAAGAAACTCAGAAAACAAAGAGGAAAAGCAGGCCTATAGACTTAATACAGCTAAGGGACTGATTCTCCCCCAAATTATACAGAAGTTCAACACAATTAAAATCACAAAAGGCTTTTAGAGAAAAAGAAATCAATACTCTTAAAATTATTTGGAAAAGCAAAAGGAATGAAAATATCCATTTAAAAAGTTGAAGGGCTACACTATATTTTAAGACTTACTACAAAACTATGATAATTGAGACTATGCAGTATTAGTAAAAGAATAGATAAAAAATACAAGAGAATACAAAAACAAGACTCATGGATATGTGAGCAACTGATTTTTCAACAAAGACTGCAAGGTAACGCAAAGGAAAAAATAACAAGTTTGGGGGGCAAGAAATAGTGCCAGAACAATCAAATATCCATATGTTTATGCAAGATGGGGCAAGGCTCAGATCTGTTGTTCAATCAGTCGCTATGAGAAAAGCAAAACAAAAGTCGCTATAAGTTGCAGCTGATTTGATGGCACTTAGCATATAACATGTTGTTTTTACCTACAACCAGGAGAAGATAACATAGATGAATGGGATCTTCTAAGACTCAAATCCCTATGCACATCCAAAAACTTCTCCAGTAGGACAAAAAGGGAAGCCACTGACTGGGAAAAAGTATTCGGTAATAACATATCAGATAAGGGACTTATATCCAGAATTTATGAAATACTTGAGCACCA